CCCCGGGACCGCTTTCCCCCCGCATCCCCACCCCGTGTCTGCCCCCTGCCCCGCTGACCCCTCCTTCCCCCCGCCGTGCCCCCTGCCCCGCTGACCCGCTGTCCCCAGCCGGCAGACGCTGCTGGTGCGGGTGGGCTGCGCGGAGCAGGGGGGGCTGCGCCACCTGCCCGGCGACCACCTGGGCGTGTTCCCCGCCAACCGCGAGGAGCTGGTGCGGGGGGTCCTGGAGCGCGTGGAGGACCCGCCGCCCCCCGAGCAGCCCCTGGCCTTGGAGAGCCGCGACGGGGACCCCGCCGGTACGGGGGACACGGGGGGATTGGGGGAACCCCTCAGGCACAGGGGGACACCGGGGGATTGGGGGAACCCCTCAGGCACGGGGGGACACGGGGGGATTGGGGGATCCCGCGGGAAGATGGGGAGGGGCTGAGGCTTGGAAAGAGAAAGAGGAAGAGAAAGAGAAAGAGAAAGAGAAAGAGAAAGAGAAAGAGAAAGAGAAAGAGAAAGAGAAAGGGGAAAGGGAAGAAGTTGGGGCAGAGGAAGAGAGAGGAAGGGGCTGAGGAAAGGAATGGGAAGGGACTGAGGAAGAGGAAGACAAAGGGGTTAGGACTTGGGGCGGCGGGAGGGGAAGGAAGAAGGGGGGAGGAAGAAGGACAAGAGGAAGGGCCCGGGGAAGGAAACAGAACAGAGCTGAGCGCCACAATCCCCCCATCCGCAGGCGGGTCCAGCCCCGGGCCCCGCTGGGTGCTGCAGCCCCGGCTGCCCCCCTGCACCCTGGCCCAGGCTCTCACCTTCTACCTGGACGTGGCGGCGCCCCCGAGCCCGCAGTTCCTGCAGCTCCTGGGCTCGCTGGCGCGGGACCCCGCCGAGCGGGAGCGGCTCCAGCGCCTGGCGCAGGTGAGGGGGTGGGGGACACCCCCGGAGAGGGGCTGGGGGAGCGGGGATACCGCGGTGCCCACTCCCCCATCTGGCTGCCATACTGGGCTGCTGGGATGCCAGCTCCCCTGCAGTCGGGACACTGGGACGCTGATCCCCTCCCTGATTCTGGGACGATGATCCGCTGCCTCATGGGGTACCGGGATGCTGCCCCCCACCCCGGGCTGGTGCCAGGCACTGGGGGTCCCCGGGGGCCGAGTGCGGGGTCCCCGCTGTGCCAGCCGTGTGCCCGCAGGACGCGCGGCTGTACGAGGAGTGGAAGTGGTTCCGGTGCCCGACGCTGCCGGAGGTGCTGGCCGAGTTCCCGTCCGTGGCTCTGCCGGCCGCGCTGCTGCTCTCCCAGCTCCCGCTGCTCCAGCCCCGCTACTACTCCATCAGCTCCGCGCCCGGCGCCCACCCGGGCGAGATCCACCTCACCGTGGCCGTCGTCACCTACCACAGCGAGAGTGAGCGGCGGGATGGGCACGGGCGGTGGGGCACCCCCGGGGCACCTCCGGGGCTCCAGGGCACCTCAGCTCCGCTCCGGGGTTTCTGGAACACCTCCAGTGTCCCCAGAGCACCTTCAAATCTCCTGCCCGGGCACAGAGAGTGCCAGCCTCTGCGGGGGGCTCTGTGAGGGGCTGCCTCTCCGCCCCCCGCCGCAGCCCCACCGGTCCCCTCTGGTCCCCACAGACGGGCAGGGTCCCCTCCACTACGGCGTCTGCTCCTCGTGGCTGGCGCGGCTGCAGCCGAGGGACACAGTGCCAGCCTTCATCCGGGGGTAAGGGGTCACTGTCCTGCAGCCAGTCCCCTGCCTCCCTCTCTGTCCCCTGCCTGCCCTCTCTGTCCCCGTGCCTGCCCTCTCTGTCCCTGTGCCTGCCCTCCCTGTCCCCTGCCTGCCATCCCTGTCCCCGTGCCTCCATCCCTGTCCTCTCCCTATCCCCTGCCTGCCCTCCCTGTCCCTGTGCCTGCCCTCCCTGTCCCCTCCCTGTCCCCTGCCTGCCATCCCTGCCTGTCCCCCTCAACTGCTCCCCTGCACGTCCCAGCCTACCCCCCACACCCCCAGCCTCCCCCCGCCCCATTTCCCGACCTCCCCAGCCGGGGCTGGGCTGAAGCCCCCCCGGGTGACCCCCGACTGCTGCAGGGCCCCCTCGTTCCGGCTGCCGCCCGCCCCCGACACGCCCTGCATCCTCGTGGGCCCCGGCACCGGCGTGGCGCCCTTCCGCAGCTTCTGGCAGCACCGGCTGCAGCTGCTGCGCGCCGGAGGTGGGACAGGGACACGGGGACACGGGGGACACGGGGGGCTGGGGCAGGGTACAGGGCCACGGGAGCCCGGGAGAAGGGGATGGAGAAACAGTGACATGGGGGTGGGGACGGCGGGACTGGTGGTTGGGAGGATGTGGGAACAGGGACCTGGGGATGGGAGGGATGGGGGTGTGGGGGACATGGGACATGGGCACAGGAACATGGTGGCACTGCGATGGAGGACGAGAGACGTGGTGACAGTGACGAAGGGGATGTGGGGACACGGGGAAGGGGATGGAGACTGGGGACGTGGGGACACGGGGGGCTGCAGAACAGGGGACAGCGGGGCTGTGGGGACACGAGGACACTGTCCCCTGCAGGCGGCCCCCTGGGCCCCATGGTGCTGGTGTTCGGCTGCCGCTCCTCCGCCCTGGACCACATCTACCGCGAGGAGATGGAGCAGGCGCGGCAGCAGGGCGCCCTCAGCCAGGTGCTCACCGCCTTCTCCCGCGAGCCCGGCAGCCCCAAGGTGCGACAGAGACAGCCGTGTGGCACGGGGGGACGGGGACGGAATGGGGACAGCTGGGATGGGCGTGGAGCTGGGGACAAGGACAAGGTGAGGGTGGAAACGGAGGGGACAGGTGGCACAGAGCTGGAGGTGAGGGGCTGGGGACACAAACAAGGACAGCGACAGCACACAGGGGGTCAGGGCGGGGATGGGGAGCTGGGCACAGGGTGGGTGGGCGCAGCACGCCACGGTCCCTGTGTGTCCCCAGACGTACGTGCAGGACGTGCTGCGGGCACAGCTGGCAGCCGAGGTGCACCAGGTGCTCTGCCAGCGCGGGGGCCACATGTACGTGTGCGGGGATGTCACCATGGCCACCGAGGTGCTGCAGACCGTGCAGCACATCCTGGCCCAGGAGGGCGACATGACGCTGGGCCAGGCGGGGGACGTCATCAGCGAGCTGAGGGTAAGGGCTGGCACCCGGGACACCACGGGGACACACCCGTGGCACCGCGGGGGTCGCGGCCCCGGCCCTGACACCTGTCCCGCAGGACAAGAACCGCTACCACGAGGACATCTTCGGGCTGACGTTCCGCACGCAGGAGGTGGCCCTGCGCATCCGCAGCCAGTCCTTCTCCCTGCAGGAGCGGCGCCCCCCGGGCCCCGCCCCCTGAGCGGGGACACGGGGACAGCGGGGACAGGGGCTCCCTGTGGCTGTGCCCCCGTCCCGCCACCCCCCAGTAAAGGTTTAGTTTTGATACCCCCGGCCCGACACCTCGGCTCCTGCGGTGGCACTGGGGACACGGGAGGTGGCACAGGGAAGGATGTGTGACACCGCTGGGGGCACCTGGCCACGCTCCAGACACGAGGGGTGGGAAACGGGGGGCACAAGGACACAGCCTGTGGCTCTGAGGGGTGGGAAACGGGGGGCACAAGGACACAGCCATGGTCTTGTGGCTCCCACCTGTGTGGCTGCAGGTGAGTGCACCCCCTGCCACCACCACTGCTGCCGCCTGCCCAAAACCCCCAGTGTCACCCCAAACTGCCACAGCCCCACCCATGGCGTCGCCCCCCGAGACCCCCAGCTCACCCCGGGCACAGCCAGCAGGCACAGCCCCTCTGTAAACCTTTATTTCAGCTGGTGCTCGGGGCACCACGGGGGGCACCAGCCCTGTGCCCCCCAGAAACAGCACCTGGGGGGGCCCTGGCAGCACCCCTGGCCCTGCACCGTAGTGGGGGCACCAGGGACGCCCCGAGCAGGGGGCTCCTACAGACAGGGCCCCCCTGGCAGCATAGTGGGCACGGCGAGCCCCCCACTGTGCCCCTGGTGGCTCCCCCGGCACCTCCGGGGGGTCTCGGCACAACCAGGACCCTGCAGAGGGAACGGGGAGTCAGCAGGGACCCCGAGCAGGGACCCTGCCACCTGGGGACCCCAACACTGGGCACCCCAGCACACGTGGCAGCCAGCCCCCACTGAACCCCAGCCCCAGGGGTCCCTGTTCCCCAGACCGGGGGTCACTGTTCCCCAGCCCCTCCGTGTCCCAGTATGCCCCTTCCGAGTCCCTGTCCCCTCAGCCCTGGGGGTCTTCATGTCCCCCATCCCCGAGGAGTTCCATCTCCCACCCCCGGGGGTTTCCATGTCCCAGTCCCGGGGGCCCCCGCTCCCCCGTGTCCCCACCCACCGTCGCCGGGCCCGGCTACGTCATCGTCTCCTCTTCCTCCTCCTCTTCCTCCTCGGCCCACCCGCCCAGCGGCATCTCCCGCAGCTGCGAGGCCCGGGCAGCCGAGCCTGGGGGCACAGGGGGGTCAGGACCTCCAGAACCCCCCTGCCCCGGCTCCAGGCTCAGCCCCGCGGTGGGGGGGCGTCAGCAGTGTCCACCAGCCCCCGGGACAGCCCCCGGGCTCACCTGTGGTCACGAAGGGGTGTTTGGGTGCCCCCGCGGGCTGGGGGCCGGGGCCCTGCGGCTGCTGCTGCTGCTGCTGGTGGAGCTGGGGGGCAGAGGGGTCAGGGAACAGCTCAGAACGCCCCCGGAGGCAGCCAGACCCCCACACTGCTGTTGGAGCCCCCCAGCACAGCAGAGCCCCCCGTACTGGCACTCGGAGCCTCCCGTGCCCGGGACACTCCCCAGCCCCAAAGGGGGGCAGAAGGGGCACCATGGGTGACACCAGCTGAGGTCAGTGGCCGAGAACGGAGGGTGGGTGTCACCCAGCGGGTCATGGAGGGTGGGGGCAGCCTGGAACGGCACTGGGGACGAGGGACGGGGGACAAGGGACCAGGGCCAGGCAGGGCTCCGGGGGTGAGGCAGAGCACGCAGAGGGGGTGAGGCTCTGGTGAGAGACACCAGGGAGCCCCAAGGGACCCGCGTCCCGGGGTGCTGTGGGCAGGGGGACCCCGGAACGGCGGGTGACGCACCTGGTGCAGGTAGATGGCGTGAAGGCTCATCTCGGCAGAGGCCACCTCGGCCAGCAGCGCCGAGCGGCTCAGGCTGCGCAGCCGCGACTCACTCAGCGCCGGCCTTGGGGCACGGGGGGCGACACGCCGTGACACCCCCGCCACGGCACCCCTCCTCGCTGTGACACCCCTTCCTTCCCCGCCCCGACACCCCTCCCTGCCACCCCGGCCCACCGTGACACCCCCTCCCCTCCCCACCACGACAGCCCCCCTCAGTGACACCCCTGGCTGCCCTGACACCCTTCCCAGCCCTGTCCCCCAATCCCACGCCCCGCCATCCCCCATCCCTCGCCAGGTCACCCCTCCTCACGACCCGCGTCCCCACCTGTCCTCGGGGTGCTCCGCGGGGCTGTCGGGGGCTCCGCAGGGCGGGGTCCCCAGGGGGGTCCGCAGGGACGCCAGCAGGCTGGCGGTGGCGCTGGCCGTGCTGCAGGGCTGCCCAAAGCGCGGGTCGCGGGCCGCCAGGACACTGGTCACCAGCGCCTCGGGCTGCGGGGACACCGTCAGCGGGAGACACACAAAACATCCCGCAGCCCCCCGAGGCGCCCGCACTCACCGCCAGGGCCGAGTCCTCGGACAGCAGGGACGCGGCCAGCGGCCCCTCGGCCAGCAGGTGCCGCGGGGCGGGCGCGGTGGCCGCGTCGCGGGTCACCTGCGCCTGGAGGTGGCCGAGGAAGCGGCGGGCGGGCGGCGGCGGCCGCCAGCGGGGATTGCTCAGGGCGAAGCGCATCAGCGACAGCTCCGTCTTGCCGTGCTCCGCCTGGCGCTCCGGGGGGGCCTCCGTGTGTCCCTCCGACAGCCACTGCGGGGACAGCGACACGTGGCACACCCCAGCAGGGCACGCAGAGCCCCGCAACGCCCCGGCCCGGCGCCGTGCCCACCTGGGGGTTGCCGTGGTGGCGCACGTCCAGCTGCGCGAAGGAGCAGATGTCGCCCACCCCCGCCACCTCCACCGTGAAGTTGCGGAAGAAGTCCACGATGTCGAGGGCGCGGGGGGGAAACGCGAAGATGAGGATCAGGGGGGTCACGAGGGGGCTCAGCAGCTCCTCCAGGATGAAAACCTGCAGTGGGGGGCAGCGGGATCAGGAGGTGTCCCGGGGTAGAGGTCCCAGATTTGGAAGCGCTGGGGTGGGATGTCCAGGGTGGGGTATCAGGGCAGTAGGTCCTGAGGAGGGGAGTCCTCGGGCAGGGCTGCCCGGGGGGGAGGGATCTCAGCGTGGGGGATTCCAAAGCAGGATGGAGGTGCCTCGAGAGTGGGGAGGCCTGGGGCAGGAGGGTCCCAGTGTGGGGGATCCAGGCTACGGGATCCTGGCACAGGAAGCTCTCACTCCGAGGGGTCCTGGGGGTGGGGGAGTCCCAGGACAGGGGATTGGGACAGGGGGTCCCAGTGTTGAGGGGTCCAGGCTGGGGATCCTGAGGTGGGGAGTGCCAGGGCTCGGAAGTCCCAGGATGGGGGGCTCCCAGTCTGTGGGGTGCTGGGACTGGGGAGCTACGGGGAGAGGATGGTCCCAGGGGAGTGGGGTCCTGGGGAGGGGGGCTCGGGCAGCGGGGGGCTGCACGCACCGCCTTGTACTGGAAGAGCTGTGCCATCTCTGCTCGTGTCTCGGCGCGGCCGGCGCGGCCCTGCCAGTGCTCGGGCAGGTAATGGACGTGAGCCAGGACCCGCTGCAGCAGCTGCTCCGGGCACCACACCGCGTGCTCGTCTGGGATGAAGGACCTGCAGGGGCACGGGCGGGGTCCCACCTCAGCCCCCCGCTGCCCACCCGGCCCCGCATGGCACAGCGCAGGGTGTGGCCCATACACCTGGCCACCGTGACCACCGCTCCGGCACCCACCTGGCCACGGTGACCACGAGCCCCAGCAGCGTGATGGCCGTCAGGATGTGCTGCACCGTCAGCACGTCCTCGTCGTACACGGTGAGCACGATGAGCACGGCCAGCACGGAGCCGGCGAAGAAGCCGACGTGGCGAGCCAGCACGGCCAGCAGCGGGCTGCTGAAGGAGTCCATGTACTTGGTGGCGGGCGCGTGGCCGCGGCCCAGCCGCGCCTGCAGCTCGTGGCCCAGCTCGTTGAAGTGGCGCAGGTAGTGGCGCGCGTAGAGCGACCAGCGGCGCGCGCCCAGGCTGCCCGGCGCCCGCTTCAGCCCCTCGGCGTAGCTGAAGAAGGCGAGCAGCAGGCGCCAGCCCAGCACGCAGGGGCACAGCGCCAGGTTGGCCACCCCCAGCACCACGGCCGCCCGCGCCAGCCCCCGCGCCAGCGCCCGCCGCGCGCCCGCCCGCTTCACCTGCGGCCGCAGGCTCCAGGTGTTCTGGAAGAGCGCGGCCGGGCCGCGGAACAGCAGCAGCTCCAGGTTGAACTGCAGGCCGCGCGTGAGGAAGACCACGGGGCCCAGCAGCGGCAGGCGGAAGCGCACGGGCAGCAGGGATTTGTTGACCATGGCCACGGTGTAGTTGCGGAAGCGCAGGATGCGGTGGTGGATGTCGAGCTCCGTCAGCTCCCGGCGCGGCACGCACAGGGGCTGGCGCCGCTGCAGCGCCAGCAGCCGGGCCTGCACCGACTGCCAGCTGTGGTTACACAGCTCCTCCTGCGGCGACGGCACGGGCATCGGCACTGGGCACCCGCGGCACGGCCCAGCGCTGCTCGGTGCTGGTGTCACTCGGCATGGCACCGGGCACCCGCGGCACCTGAGAGCCCAGCCCAGACCCCAGCCCCCTGGTGGTATCTGACAGCCCCGTCCGAGAGCAGGACGCAGGCAAAGCCATTCCTCTGGTGGAACTGGTAGATGTGGGGGGGGTTAAGGAGACTATGAAGGGGCGACGGACCCCCCATGTCCCCCCCCCCCCCCCACCCCGAGTCACCCCATGCTCCCCCATGTCCCCCACAGTGCCACCAGGGGCTGTGCCAGGATATCTTGGTGAAGAAACTGTCCAGGTCCTTAATGTGGTGCCACGAGTCTGCGGGGAAAAACACGCGGGGATCAGGTGGGAATGCGGTACTGCGCCCCCCGCCATGGGACCCCGCGCCCCACCCAGGACCCAGAAACACCACCTGGGGTCCCCAAACAGCTCACGGGACCCCGGATCCCCCGCCAGACGGGACCCCAGTACCTGTCGGTCCTTCGGTGACGTGCAGCAGCAGCTGCTCCTCCTCCTCCTCGCCGGGGGGCGAGTCCTCCTCACAATCCTCCAGCCGCCGGTACTCCCGGTAGTCCCGGTCCTCCTCTCCCAGCTCCGCCATCACCTGCCGGGGACCGTGAGCACCTGCCGCCGCCACGGGGCCGCCGCGGGGGGCGGGGGGGCCGGGGCAGATGTGGGGCACCGGAAATGCCACCGGGGTGCCGCAGCGCCGCCCGCGTGCCCCGAATTCGGGTGGCCTGAGCTGGCCCCGGCCGCGGGCAGGTGACACCGCAGATGCCACCGGCCCGTCCTGTCCCACCGGCCCGGCCAGTGCCAGAGCCTGCCGTGACCCTGCAGGGCTCCCCGGGAGGGACCCCCTGCAAGGTCCGAGGGACCCCAATACTTCCCCCAGCCGTCCCCCAGGCCATGCTGTGCTGCCCGGCCCGAGTGGGGGGACTCCTCTCCCCACGGACCCCTGTGTCCACAGCCCCCCACAGAACCCCCTCCCCATGCACTCGTGTACCCACAGACACCCCACAGAGCCCCCTCCCCACGGAGCCGGGGGCAGCAGCCCAGAGCGGGACCAGCTCAGGACCCCGCTCCGGGGGCTGGAAGACCCCGGAAAGGAGCGGAGTGACCCTGGTACAGCTGTCCCGTTCCTGCTCACCTGGCCGCTCGGTGCCGAGTCCCGAGCCCTGGTGGCCTCTCAACGCCTTGCAGACCCCGGCCCGGGGAAGGACTGGACCCCCCACCTCTATGGGGCAGGGCAGGACCCCGGACCTTGGGGCAGGGGGACAACCCCCTACAGGGCAGGACGGGACCCAAAACTCTTGGAAGACACCCCAAACTCTTGGATGGGACCATCACCCCCTGGGGAAGGATGGGACCCCCACCGCTGGAGCAGGGCGGGACCCCCCGTCCACCCCCACGGTGCCCTTACCGCCGCCCCGCAGCGCCGCGCGTCACCAGCGTCCCCCGCGGTGGCCACAGCCGCTGTCCGGCCAGGCCGGTGGCCGCGGGTGACACCGTCCGGCCCCACCTGTCCGGGGCTGACTCACGGCGCGGGGCTGATGCAGCAAGAGGGCCCCGACCCCACTTGTGCAACACCGCTTGGGGACAGCGGCCGCATCCCCCGGGATCGGGTGTCCCGGCGGGTGACACCGGCACGGCCCGTCCCCAACCAGCTCCGCATCGGGAAGCCAAAAATACCCGCGGAGCCCGAAAATAGCCCCAGAGGGTAAACGGTGGGGGGGGTCGGGGGATCCCCGGCCGGGCAGCCGGGACACCCCCGGGGCCAGGGACAGAGCCCAGGGCACGTGGCACCCGAGGGACACGGCGGCCCCGGGCAGTGGCCCCGGTGACCCTGCCGGGACACACGTGTGTTTCCGCAGCGTCACCTGTGTCACGGGGAGCCCCGCGACCCCGCACGGGGACACGGACACCTGCCCGCGGGGACACGGCAGGGTGCCACCCCCGTGGTGACACGAGCCCCGGTGGTGACATATGGCTGCGCCGTAAGAACACGGACGGGGCTCGCCGGTGACCCCCGCGAGTGACCCGGGAGCGCACGCGGGGACACGGGCACGGCCACGGCGGCAGGGCACGCGCCCGCCCGGTGCCCCGCGCCGCCCGGCTGCGCTCCCGGGGCAGCGGCGGGGCTGGAGGACCCCGGAAAGCAGCGGCGTGACCCCGGCACCGCTGCCCCGTCCCTGCTCACCTGGCCGCTCGGTGCCGGCCCGGTCCCCGCCGGTGCCGGGCGCTCAGGGGGCCCCGCGCCCGCCCCGGGCCCCCGCCCCGCGCCGCCCGGTGCCGCCCCCGGTGCCGCCCCGCCCGAGCCGCCATGCCGCTGCCGGTGCTCTTGCTGCGGGCGGCGGGCGCTTGGACCCGGCTGCGACCGCCCTCCGTCGCGGGGCGCAGGTACCGGGGAGTGCGGGGCATCCCGGGAGGAGCCCGGAGCCCCGGCTCCCTGGGAGCGCGGGAACCCCGACTCCTGCTGGGAGGAGCCCCGACTCGGTGGTCGCGGGGGTCCCGGGGGTGCGAGTCGGGCTGCGGGGGAAGCCAGGGGTCCCAGGAACTCTCGGGGGCTCCCGGACACCCGGATCCCTGCGGGGGGACCGCGGAGAGGCCGGGGCTCCCGGGAGGTTTGGGGCTACGTGGGCTTCCCGGAGCAGCGGGACGGGAGTCAGGGCTGGTCCTGGGGACCCCGGGCACCTTGGGGGTCACCCCGCCTCTGGGTGTGCTGCGGTGCGGGGAGCTGGCACCTGCGGCGGCCGGGAGGTGCCCAGACTCACGGGCCCTTGGGTGGTGGGGGCACCCCAACTCCTGCGGGGGGAGCCAGGGCTCCGGGATTCCAGGCGGGCCTGGGGGATGCTGGCTCCCCTGGGGCAGGAGCACAACTCCTGCTGGGGGGACAGGGGATTCTGAGGCGCCTGGGCTGATCCGTGCGGGCTGCCCCAGGTTCACTCGCCCCCAGGTTCACTTCTCTCACCCCTCTCCCCAGTTTCAGGTATGGGGGGCGCCTGGGGCTGGCCGTGCCCCCCCGGCTGCCCCCAGCCCTCCCGGCCCCCCGGCGCCTGCTCCTGGCGGGCTCGGCCACGGGCTGCGTGCTGCTGGGGCTGCTGCGCACGGCTGCGCGCTGCCAGGAGGCCACTGTCCCCGCCGGACCCCCTGCTGCTCCCGAGCCGCCAGAGACCCCCCCGGAGACCCCCTTTGACTGGCCACTGTTCTGGACCTTCCTGCGCCCTCAGCTCCTGGCGCTCTCAGCTGCTGTTGTGGTGAGCAGGGCTGAGTGGGTGGCCTCGTCCCCACTGTCCCTGTGTCACACCTGTGCCGTGGAATAACACACTGTCCCTGTGCCACAGCATGATGGCCACTGTCCCACTGACACAGTGTGACACCTGCCATCCCACTGCCTGTCACTGTCCTAGTGCCACAGTGTGATGGCCACGGTTCCTGTGAAGGGACGTGACACCACCTGTCCCCATGCCAAGGTGTGGCAGCCACTGTCCTGGTGCCATTGTGTGATATCCACCATCCTGGTATCCACTGCTGTGTGACACATGCTGTCCCAGTGGCACAGTGTGACGGCCACCATCCCAGTGCTGACACGAGATAGCCACTGTCCCAGTGCCATGGCATGACCCCCACTGTCCCAGTGCATGGTGTGACCCCCGCTGTCCCAGTGCCGTGACAGCCCTGTCCTGTCCCCGTGTGCCCCGCAGCTGGCGCTGGGCGCGGCCCTGCTCAACGTGCGCATCCCGGTGCTGCTGGGCCAGCTGGTGGACGTGGTGGCCCGATGTGCCCGCGGCCACGTTGCCACCTACCTGCGGGAGGTGCGGCGCCCGGCCCTGCGCCTCCTCGCCGTCTACTGCCTGCAGGTGAGTGCCGACCCCCCAAAGGGTGGGTGGGGGGTCCCGGGTGTGCCCCCCAGCCCTCCTGAGCCCCCCGTCCCGCAGGGCCTGCTGACCTTCGGGTACATCGCGCTGCTGGCCCGCGTCGGCGAGCGGGTGGCCGGCAACATGCGCAAGGCTCTCTTCAGCGCCCTGCTCAGGTAACCCGGCAGGGACGGGGGACGGGAGAGACGGGTGCCCAGGGACCCCCACCCACCGCTCCCCCGGCAGGCAGGAGGTGGCCTTCTTTGATGCCACACGCACGGGGCAGCTGGTGACACGGCTGACGGCCGACATCCAGGAGTTCAAGTCTTCCTTCAAGCTGGCCATCTCCCAGGTGAGCCCGGCCACCTCCCAGCTGAGCCCAGCTATCTCCTGGGCAATCCTGGTGGTCCCTCCCACCCACTGTGTCCCCCCCAGGGCCTGCGCAGCGGCACCCAGACCGCCGGCTGCTTCGTGTCGCTGTACCTGCTGTCGCCCAAGCTCACGGCGCTGCTGCTCGTGGCGCTGCCGGCGCTGGTGGCCGCCGGCGCCTTCATCGGCGCCTTCCTCCGCAGCCTGTCCCGCCAGGCACAGGAGCAGGTAACCCTCACCCGAGAGCCCCCGTCCTGCCAGCCACGAGGCCGCAGCGTGGGGCGTCTCCACCATCCCGCTGTCCCTGCAGGTGGCCAAGGCCACCGTGGTGGCCGACGAGGCGCTGGGCAACGTGCGGACGGTGCGCGCCTTTGCCATGGAGGAGCAGCAGGCAGGGTAAGGGGAAGGCTGGGGCTGGGAGGTGGTGGGCCTGTGGCAGAGGGGACCCCAGCCCATGCCTGCCCCAGGCTGTTCCGTGCCGAGGTGGACCGTGCCGGATGTCTGAGCGAGCGGCTGGGCCTCGGCATCGCCGCCTTCCAGGGGCTCTCCAACCTGGCGCTCAACGGTGAGTGGGGGTCACTCGCTGGGACCTGGGCGCTGTGGGGTGGCACTCCCTTGGGCAGGACCTCCTCCGTGCCCCTTCCGCATGTCCCCTTCAAACCCCAGCTCTGTCCCCACCCCTCAGGCATCGTCCTGGGAACCATCTTCGTGGGTGGCTCCCTGATGGCTGGAGACGAGCTCTCGCCTGGTGACCTCATGTCCTTCCTGGTGGCCTCGCAGACAGTGCAAAGGTCAGGGCAGGCCCCTAGTACCCCTGGCACCCCCTGTACCCCGCAGCCTGCCTGGGCACAGCCCTGAGCTCACCCTCTGCCCTTGCGCATCCCAGGTCCTTGGCCAGCATCTCCATCCTGATGGGCCAGGTAGGTGGGGTGAGGGGTCCTGGCACCCCTTGAGGCTGGCGATTCAGGTTTGGGGCTGCTTTCACCACCTTCCCTGGGGGTGAGGTGGGGTCTGGGGGGCCATGAGGTGCTCCTGTTGTCCCCCCACAGGTGGTGCGGGGTCTGAGTGCTGGCGCCCGTGTCTTCGAGCTGCTGAGACTGGAGCCCCTCGTGCCACTGCAGGGGGGGGCCACCATCCCTGCCCACTCCCTGCTTGGACACATCTGCTTTGACCACGTCTCCTTCAGGTGGGCCCCAGCAGGCCCCTGCCTGTCCCCCCGTGGCTCTGAGCCACCCCATGGACAGGAGGATTGGCACCGTGTCCCCACAGCCTTGCAGCCCCTGCCCCTCTCCCTGCAGCTATCCCACCCGGCCTGGCTACCCTGTCCTGCAGGACTTCAGCCTCACCCTGCCCCCCTGCCAGACCGTGGCCATCGTGGGCCCCTCAGGAGGAGGTACCAGTACCCCCCACCCTCTCCCTGGGTGCAGGTACCAGTACCCCCCAGCCTCTCCCTGGGCGCATCCTCCTGCGCCCCAGTCCTCTGCCCAGTGCGCCCAGTGTATGCCCGGCTGCGCCGCGGCGGGAGCGGAGCCGGGAGCGGGACCGGGGCTGGAACTGGGATCGGGGCTGGGACTAGATCCGGGACCGGGATCGGGGGGAGGGGACCGAGGCTGGAATCGGGACCGGATCCGGGACCAGGGCTCGAACCGGGACCGGGATCGGAGCCGCGACCGGGGCTGGAGCCGGGACGGGGGCTGCGCTGCGCCGCCCGCGGCTCCGCGGCACCGGCCGGGCAGCAGCGGCAGCGGCAGCGCGAAGGAGCCGGGGGGGCGAGGCGGCCGGTCCTGCCCCCCCGCTCCTGCCTTCCTCTCCCCTGCCCACCCTCCTCCTCCCTTCCCTCCCCGCCGGCTGCGCCCTGAGCCCGGCGCGGCGATGGGCTGAGGCTGCGGGGCACCGCGGGGCCCCGGCGGCAACAGGATGAGGAGGGGCTCGGAGGGCAGCGGCGAGGGCGAGGGGCTCTCCAGCCTGCGGGCGTTCGCCCACAGCTCCTCGCTGCACGGCATCAGCCACGTCTTCGCCTACGGGGCCGTGTCCCTGCGCCGCGTGCTCTGGGGCGGCTTTTTCCTGGGCTCGCTGGGGCTGCTGCTGCTCGTGTGCGCCGAGCGCGTCGCCTACTTCCTCACCTACCCGCACGTCACCAAGCTGGACGAGGTGGCTGCCCGCAACCTCACCTTCCCGGCCATCACCATCTGCAACCTCAACGAGTTCCGCTTCTCCAAAATCACCCGCAACGACATGTACCACGTGGGCGAGCTGCTGGCGCTGCTCAACGAGCGCTACGAGATCAGCAACCCGCAGCTGGCCGAGCCCCACGTCCTGGCCGCGCTGCGCGACAAGGCCAACTTCAAGAACTTCAAGGCGAAGCCCTTCAGCATGGCCGAGTTCTACAACCGCACGGGCCACGACCTGGCTGACATGCTGCTGCAGTGCTCCTTCCGCGGCACCGGCTGCACCGCCCGCAACTTCACCGTGGTGAGTGCCCCGGGGGCGGGGAGGGACCCACCGCGTGGCCCGGGGCTGCGCAGGGACAGGGCAGTCCTGCTGGGGTCGGGCGCCGGCAGGTGATGCCCCTCTCTCATCCCAGCGCCCGCTGCCCGCCCCGCTGGGGACAGCACCCCCACACCGGGGTGTCCCCACCCTGGGTGCTGCAGGGCGCCAGGCGGCTGCCAGCCGTGCCAGGATGGAGCGGGGCTCTGCTGGGCACTCTGGGCTGCCTGGGGGGTCTCTGCTGGCATGCAGGGGCGGTGGTGGGCACAGGATGGTCAGGGTTGTGGGGTGCTCACAGGTGTGGGGTGCTCTTCTGTGCGGGGTGTCACTTGTACAGGTGCTCACAGGTGCAGCCCCCGCCACCCGTGCCAGCCTCAGGTGCCACTGGGCACTGCCAGCAGCAGCCGCTGCCCTGACAGTTGGCACAGAGGCTCCCTCCCCTGGGCAGCTCTTCCATGCCCGGCATGGGTGGGGGTCCTCGTGCCAGCCCTGCTGGGACCCCCTGATGCTGCTCCCAGCACCCTGCAGCAGCCCCACTGCGGCCCCCAGAACAGGGCAGGGACAGTGGCACAGGCAGGGATGGTGGCACTTGTGTGACAGGCAGGGACACTGGGGCAGGCAGGGCTGGTGGCACAGACAGGATGAGCAGGGACAGTGGCACAGGCAGGATGTGCAGGGACAGTGGCACAGGCAGGGTGGGCAGGGGCGGTGGCCTGGGCAGGACGGGCAGGGACACTGGCACAGGCAGTGATGGCGGCATGGGCAGCACAGACACTCCCCTCCTGCCACAGCAGCGCCAGGCAGCAGCGTGGGCAGCTCACGTCTGCCATGCCAGCTCTGCCCAGTCCACATCGCTGTCCCAAGCAGCTGCTGTCCCCTTAGTGATCTTGGAGCACTAATTAATTCAGCACGCCGCTTAGAGTCGAGCTGTGCTTTGGCAGGTCTGTGCCCTCATGCTCCCTGTGCCCCCCGTGCTCCCTCTGTTCCCCCCTGCCCCCATGCCCGTGGCCAGAGCTGCTCTGCCAGTGTCCCCAAATCCCAGCCAGGCAGTGGTGATGGCCCCTGGCTGGTGATGGCCCTGGGTTTGAGAGCTGGGACATCCCTGGGACATTTGAGCAGGGCTGCGGATCCCCAGACAGGACTCGGGGTGGGTGGCGCGTGCCTGATTAGGCAGCAAGGTCCTGGCTCCAGCCCCCAATATGCTCAGGCTCGGCCAGTCTTAGTCCTGGCTTGGGATCTGTGCCCTAGGCCAGGGTGCTGAGCTCTGGCACTGTGTCCCTGCGCCTCACCCCAGCCCGGGCCCCAGCGTCCCCGAGGGTCCTGGACACGTGGTGGGGCCCGAGGGCCATCGGGTGAGCTGTGTCTCCTCTGGCATCCCCCAGGGCCGGCAGGATGGGGCAGGATGGGTGTGGGGACAGGGCATCTTTGGGGAGCAGGGCTGGGGGTCCCCAGGGTGCAGGGCTGGGGGTCCCTGTGTGACCCTGAGTGTGGAGCGCAGGAGGACTGGCAGTGCTGGGGACATGTCCCCATCACTGTCCCCACCCATGCCCCCCCCAGCATCCCCATGCCGGGCAGCCGTTGCCATGACACCCGCCCCCCCCTTTCCTCCTTGGGCACCGCATTGCCATGGCAACGGGTCCCCACTTTGGGAGCAGCTGGTTGCCACAGCAACGCCCCCTCCGCTCCCCCCGTGGGACATTACCCCCGGGTGGGGCACCCCAGCAGAGAGGGCCACGGCACCACGGGACTGTATGGCAGGAGTTGGGGGCCACGGGACCAGTCTGGGGGCTCGGGGTCACCCCAGGGTCCCCAGCAGTGTGTTCCGATCCCTGGGAACTCAAGGTCACCCCAGGGCTCCTGGTGGGGGTGAGGGTCCCCGGGGGGCTGGCCCAGGACAGGCTCTCAGCTCTTGGGGGGGACATGGTGGCCTCTGCCGCTGTGACAAAGGAGTCCTGGTCCCCATCACCGTTCTGGCTTGTGTCCTCCCATCTCAAGTGTCCCCACGTGTTCCCTGGAACCACGAGGAAACCCAATATCCCTGCAGAGCCGCGGCAGCACAGGCTGGCACCATCAACGCCCTCGCCTTCTCCTGGTGGCACTGGCAGCCTGTCCCAGGACACTGGGACCCCATCCTGGGTCCTGTAGGGCACCGGGACCCTGCCCTGGCTCATGTGGGGCACTGGATCCCCACTGCCATGTCCCCGTGTGTGTCCTTGTGTCCCCACAGGGTCCCCACAGTGGCACTGAATGTCCACATGGGGTCCCCGCAGTGGCAGTGAGCGCCCTGTCTCCGTGTCCCACGTGTGCCCCGTGTCCTCGCAGATCTTCACACGCCTGGGGAAGTGCTACACGTTCAACCCGGGGGGGCCAGGCCGCGAGGTGCTGACCACGCTGCAGGGCGGCTCCGGCAACGGGCTGGAGCTCATGCTCAACGTGCAGCAGGAGGAGTACCTGCCCGTCTGGGGGGACACAGGTGAGACCCTGCCCGTCTGGGGGGACACAGGTGAGACCTGCCTGTCTGGGGGGACAGGGTGAGAGCACTGGGTCCCAGCTCAGTACTTGTTCTTTTGGGGGGGCACAGGTGAGCACGTGTCCATCCGGGGGGACATGGGTGAGATCCCCTGCCCTGCCCCTGACCCCCCTCCCCTGCTCTGCAGATGAGACCTCGTTTGAGGTGGGGGTGAAGGTGCAGATCCACAGCCAGGACGAGCCGCCCTTCATTGACCAGCTGGGCTTCGGCGTTGCCCCTGGCTTCCAGACCTTCGTGTCCTGCCAGCAGCAGCGGGTATCCGGGCACGGCGCCCGGGGCTGGGCACAGACCCCCGAGGGATCGGGATGGGCCCCGGAGGGATCGGGATGGACCCTCGCAGGGCTCGGGATGGTGACCCGAAGGGATGGATCAGAACGGACCCCAGAGGGCTTGGGATGGCCTGGTGTTGCCGCAGACAGTGCCGCGGGTACCCCAGCCATGTCCATGGGGACACCCCGTCGCAGCCGTGCCGCGGGTACCGTGCCAGGGCACGGCACACGCCGTGGGGCAGCCCCACGCCAGGCCCGGGCAGGCAGGGCTCCGCAGCGACCCCCGGCTCCGCGGAACAGCCGCCGGGGGGTGGCGGCACCCGGCCCCCGCAGCCAGACACCTAAATTTAGGTGCCTCGGGTGGGCGTCACCACGTGTGCCGGCACATGGGCGGCAGGAGCACGGCGGCAGCAGGAATGGCCCTGGCACCCACGGGCGGGGGGTGCTGGGCCTTCACCAGACACGGTGCCCGCACCGAGGGGAGGGCGGGGGTCGGCGCTGACCCCCCCCCGCCCCCCGGCACGTCCTGCTCCAGCCGGTGCCACCTGCCAGACTTCGCGGTGGCACCGGTACAGGTGACAACTGCTGCAGCACCCGTCCCCGTGCCCCGAAAGGAGGGGACGGGGCGGGACGGGGGCTCTGGGTGGCAGGACCCGCAGCACGGGGGCGCGGGGTGAGCTCTGCCCCAGGCACGGCGCTGCCGCGGGCTGGGAGGCGCGGGTACGACACCGCGGACATCGGGGCTGACACGGGGCCCCAGGACGCCGTGTTTTCCTTAGCGGGTGCCCGGCAGCTGGTGTACCTGCCCCCGCCGTGGGGGGACTGCAAGGCCACCCCCATCGAGTCCGACTTCTTCACCAACTACAGCCTGACTGCGTGCCGCCTGGACTGCGAGACGCGCTACCTGGCCGAGAACTGCAACTGCCGCATGGTGCACATGCCGGGTGAGCGGGGGGCGGCCGGGGGCCGGGGGCTCCGCCACCGAGGCACCAACCCCGCCCTGCGGCCGCCGCCTCCCCGCAGGCAATGCCAACGTCTGCACCCCGGAGCAGTACAAGGAGTGCGCCGACCCCGCGCTGGGTACGTACCCCGTGCCCCCCGACCGCCCCGGGCACCCCTGAGCCTGCCCATGCCCCCATTTCTGTGAGTGCAGCTCCGGTGTCCCTGTGCCCCCACCACGGAGAGTGGCTCTGGTGTCCCTGTGCCCCCACCACGGAGAGTGGCTCTGGTGTCCCTGTACCCCCACCACTGAGAGTGGCTCTGGTGTCCCTGTGTCCCCACCACCGAGAGTGGCTCTGGTGTCCCTGTACCCCCACCACTGACAGTGTGGCCCTGGTGTCCCTGTGCCCCCACCACCGAGAGTGGCTCTGGTGTCCCTGTACCCCCACCACTGACAGTGTGGCCCTGCCCCCACCACCGAGAGTGGCTCTGGTGTCCCTGTAGTGTCCCTGTGCCCCCACCACTGACAGTGTGGCTCTGGTGTCCCTGTGCCCCCACCACTGAGAGTGTCCCTGCTGTCCCTGTGCCCCCACTACTGACAGTGTGGCTCTGGTGTCCCTGTGCCCCCACCACTGAGAGTGTGGCCCTGGTGTCCCTGTGTCCCCACCACTGACAGTGTGGCTCTGGTGTCCCTGTGCCCTTGCTGGGGTGGGGGTCACCGCTGTCCCCAGATGCGCAGGGCCGGGCCCCCTCCCTGTGCCACCGACAGCGCCCGTGGCACACTTGTCCCGGGTGGCACCACCAGCACCCAGCTCTGTCCCCGGAGCACCCCGCCGCCCCCCGCGGGCAGGGGTCCTGGGGGTCCCCGTCCCACCCCCGCCCCCCCAGACTTCCTGGTGACGAAGGACAGCGAGTACTGCGCGTGCCGCACGCCCTGCGCCATGGTGCGCTACGGCAAGGAGCTCTCCATGGTGAAGATCCCCAGCAAGGCCTCGGCCAAGTACCTGGCCAAGAAGTTCAACAAGACGGAGCAGTACATTGCGTGAGTGACACCGCCACCTCCGCCGCTGCCACCGCGCTGTCACCCGCCGCCTCGCCAGCACACAGCGTGACACAGCCCCACAGCCCAGCACGACAGCTGGCATCAGAGGGCACGGTGTGACAGCGTGACATGGCACAGCGCGGCCCCGTGACATGAACAGTGCGACACAACGGCCCCAGCATCATGAAGTGACACACCCAGAGTGACAGTGTGACAGGGCGCCCACCCAGAATCCCCCAGCAGACATGAACTGGGACAGCATGGCAGTGTGACACAGCAGCACGGCACAGCCACGCGCGGCATCCCCGTCACACACAGCCCAAAATGACGCTGTGACACGGCATGGCGTGGTGTGACAGCATGGCACGGCACAGCATGGCACGGCATGGCCTCCCCTGTGCAAACCTGCCCCAGAAACGGGAAATGCACAGGGCACGGCACGGCTCAGCATGGCCTGGCACACACAGCCCAGCACCCCTCTGCCCTGGCCCACGGTACCCCGTGGCACAGTCCAGCCCCCCAGCCTGGCACGGCCCCCCTGCAGCTGACACTGCCCCCTCGTCCCCTGTGTCCCCCAGGGACAATGTGCTGGTCCTGGACATCTTCTTCGAGGCACTGAACTACGAGATGATCGAGCAGAAGAAGGCGTACGAGGTGGCGGGGCTGCTGGGTGAGGGACGGGGCCCGGGGCGCTGGGGGACACGGGGTCTGCCCTCACTGACGTGACTCCCGCACAGGTGACATCGGGGGGCAGATGGGGCTCTTCATCGGTGCCAGCCTCCTCACCATCCTGGAGATCTTTGATTACCTGTACGAGGTGAGCCCACCCTGGCCTCCCCCTGCCCGGGGCTCTCCGGGCCGGGGTCTCTGACCTGCCCCCCGCAGGTGTTCCGGGACAAACTCCTCAGCCTGTACAAGGAGAAGAAGCGGAGCCCCCGGAGCGACGGCGGCACCCTGGTAACCCCCCCGCGCCCCCCACTCCCCAGCCCCCCGCCCAGGGGTCGCACCTCATCACCCCCCCGCTCACCGCTCTCTCGTCCCTCCGTGCGCCCGTCCAGGAGCACCCGGCGGTCCCGGGCAGCCCCCCGGCCCCGCGCCCACCCAGGTACATGCGGGGGGGCAACCAGAGCCCCCCGGGGCTGGCACGGGCGGCGTGGGGCTGTCACTCCCCGGGGGAGACGGGGGTCCGCGGGGGGCTCCCCAGGGCCAGCACGGGGGTGTGGGGCCACTCGCGGCAGATCTCCCGCATTCCCTGCGAACCCCCCGCATTCTCTGCAGACCCCCCCCCATTCCCTGCAGACATCCCCCATCCTCATCATCCCCCACAGCGCCTTGTTCCGGGGTACGCCTGCCCCGACACCCCTCAGCCGGGCTGGGGTCCCCCAGCCTGCCCTCCGGGAGGCAGCGGGGCGGGGGGGTCCGCGTGGGGACATGGCAGGGGCCAGCCCGGCTCCAGCTCGGCCGCGAGGTGTCCCTGCCCAGGTGGAGGGCTGCTGGGGGCACAAGGGGAGGGGGCAGCGGCAGAGCCCCCCGCAGGCAGGGCGCAGGGCCCGGCGGTGGCAGCGGGAGCTGACCCCCCTACCCCTCTGCAGGGCGCCTGGCCCCCCCTGCCCGGCCCCCCGCCCCGTCTCGGCGTCGCCCCGAACCTGCTACCTCGTCACCCGGCTCTAGGGCCCCCCCCGGGCCCCCCCGCAGAGCCCAGCCCGCCCCCCCGCCGGCCGGGGGGCTGGGGGGACACCCCCGGGCCGCGGGGCGGCCTCCAGGCCTCCCCCGCCCCCTGAGGGGGTGTCGGGGGGCTGGGGGTGAGGGGCCCCCCCGGCCCTGCTCCCACGTCCCTGCATGCGCTGCCTGTGCCCCCTCGCGCTGGACATGCAACCCCTCCCCACGGCCCCCCCAAATAAAGAGGTGCCCCAGCCCCGGCTCCGTGCTGCTGGGGGGACCGGGGGCACGGCTGCTCAGGGGTCCTGGGCGCTCCGGGAGGGAGAAGGCAGCACTGGGGGGGGGTCACAGGGCTGGGCTGGGCTCAGGGGCTGTGGGGGGGGTCTGTCACACGGCAGCGGGGGTCCCCGACACCCCAGGAAGGAGGAGGCAGCACTGGGGGGGAAGCTCTTTATGGGATACCGAACGCACATCACCCACGAACACCGGGACCCCCAGCACAGGGGGCTCAGGGCACACCGGGACCCCCAGCACAGGGGGCTCAGGGGAAGTAGGGAGAGGAGATTGGGGGGTTCAATCCCCCCTGGGGTCCCTGTACCTGGTCCCGGAGGGTCCTGCCCCTCCACCAGCCCTGTGGCCCCATGTCTGGGGGTTCCCATGCCCTCGGGAAGCCCCCTGCCCCCGGGTGAGTCCTGTGTCCCTGGGGGGAGTCCCAGCCCTCTCATCCCCCCCGGGGGGTTGTGCCAGCCCCCTGCCGCCGGGGCAGAACCTAATAAATACTGGGGGGCTGCAGTCAGGGGGCTGGCATGGGCTGGCACCCGGCTGGGGGGGCGGGGGGCTGCCCCCCTCAGGGGGTCTGGGGGCCCTAGGGGGGGCAGAAGTCGGTGAAGTAGGGGTGCTGCAGGGCCTCCTCCGCTGAGATCCGCTGCACCGGATTGCACTTGAGCAGGTTCTGGGGGGCACGGGGGGCTGAGGGGGGACAGCACAGACCCTCCCCGTCCCACAGCCCCCCAGGAGGGCAGGGGGCTGCAACGGGGAGGGCACCCACACCCAGGAGCCAGAGCCCCCACGGGGTGGGCAGGGGTGACACGTGTGGGGACACAGCGCTGGGACAGGAGCAGGAGCAGGGGGCGTGCAGGCTGGGAGACACACCAGGGGTGGGGGGCACAGGGACAGGGGGTACAGGGTACAGGGGGCACAGGGGCAGGGGGCACAGGGGCAGGGGGCACAGGGGCAGGATCTCACCTGCAGCAGGTCCCGGCCAGTCGCGTTCAGCTTGGGCACCACGTTGACCAAGGAAGTGGTAGCTGGGTACATGGGGTAGGGCTGGGGACACACAGGTGACCCCCAGCTCCCCCAGACCCCCTTATTCCCCCTGACCCCCCGAGTCCCCTGCCCTCACCTTGTAGTCCGGCAGCTTGGCCATGGCCGGCCACTGCTCCTCGGTGGGGGTCCCCAGCAGCGTGGGGACAGTCAAGGGCCACCACGGGGGCACCCAGCACCTGCCCCCCTGCCCCGCCAAGGGGGTTCCCGTTCCAAGGGATCCTCATTCTCAGAGCACCCCATTCCCCAGGGGGTCCCCATTCCCGAGGGCTCCCCATTCCCAGCAGGTTTCCATTCCTGAGGGCTCTCCATTCCAGGATTCCCCCAATCCCCCATTCCCGAGGGATCAGCATGCACAGGGCTCCCCATTCCCAGGGGATTCCCCATACCCAGGGGTATTGCAGTCCCCATTGCCAGGGGTTCTCTATTCAAGACTTTCCCCATTCCCAGCGGTCCCCATTCCTTTGGGCTCCCCATTGCCTAAGCTCCCCATTACCAGGGCATTCCCCATTTCCAGGCAGTCCATTCTGGGGTCCCCATTCCAGAGGAATCACCACGGACAGGGCTCCCCATTCCCAGGAATCCCCATTCCTTTGGGCTCCCCATTCCCTGAGCTCCTCATTCCCAGGGGATTCCCCCTTCCCAGGAGTCCCCACTCCTTTGGGCTCCCCATTCCCAGCAGCCCACTCCCCATTCCCAGGATATCGGAAGATCCTCTTCAGCTGGTCGTCCACGTCGTTGCCCGGGAAGAGGGGCCGCCCCGCGTTGGCCAGCTCTGGGGGGACAGGGGGTGGTTCCCACAGGCCCCCAGCCCCCCCCGGCCCCCCCCC